CGATTTTAATGTGGGCTGTAACGGAGGAACAACAACAAAATCCCACTTGACCATGATACGTAAATGCAAATACAGGAATGATTGTACTCATTTGTCTAATCCCATCCACCAAGGATGTACATTTGGTTAATGAATTTCCAAATTCCCAACCACTCATCAGATGTTGTTAAAAACTAATGGGTAAACCCAATGGTGTGGCTCAGCTGGTTGGGCATCCTCCAGCAAAACCCAATGTGGCCGGTTCGATTCCCAGTCAGGGCACATGCCTGGGTTACAGGTTTAGGTCCCTGGTTGGGGTGCTTATGGAAAGCAGCCAATTGCACACTTATGTTTCTCTCCCTCTCTTTCTCCCTTCCTTCCCCTCTCTTTAAAATCTAAAATACAATAAAATTTACTGTACATTTTTTAAATGTTTAGCAAATGAGTTCAAAACCCAGAACATGCTTTTAAAATTTGGTTTTGTGGGCCATTAATGTAACACTTTACTGTGAAAACTGGTAATTAAAGGGAAATGACCATTCATTCTGTCTTTTCAGTAAAAAGTTAGGTTTCAGGTAACCAAAGAGCCCCAACTGGATGAGGGAAAGCTCAATTGCCATAAAGAAAGCCAGCTAATGAATGAAGGATGAATGAAATAACTTAATAACATTAAATTGAAACTCGAATAAAATGACTGATTCAGGCAAGTATCACCAACTGTTGTTCAAAACACTAACTGTTGATGGGGCACCAAACACATGACCACAAGTCATTCAAATAACACCACACAGAAAACTTCTAAGCAATAACGAGAAAACTGCACACGGAAGGGATTCAAGTCTATAGCTTTAACCTCTAGTTCACAGAAACACAGAGAACAAAGAAACCAGTTCTAAAACACCACAAGGAAAAAAGCAGAGAAATTCAAAAGCTGGAACATTCTACAAGGTCATAGGACTGACCTCTTCAATAAATCAGCGTTAGCAAAAGAGACCGTGTGTGAGCGAGATTCAAACCACAACCACCACATGCAACCCGGATCAGGTATTGGCTTGAGTATTTTTGATCCACTGGGGAAATATAAATACAATCTGGGAATCAAGATGATAAAACGTCATTCACTGAAAAAAGCAGGTGATAAAACTGCACTGGAGACATAGCACAGTATACATATTGAACACATGCACACGTGTCCTGCTTCGATAAATAGAAACGAGGTTTGTTTTTAAAAGAAAAATTTCTCCAGGGTACACGTATGGGTTTTGTACATTTCATTTTTTACAACAAAATGACAAAGCAACGTTTCAAACTTTTATTTTTGAAATATTCACTTAATCATTAATTTGTTGTGCAAACTACTTACTTTTGCACTTGAAATTTCATACCTGAAATGACAGATTAAGTACACCACCCCAAAATCTAGCTGGGTTAACAGTCGCTGATTTATCACAGCCACTGACTCATCACAACAGGGTGGCAAACTTACTATTTCATAAAATGATACAGTTCACTCATCTTTTAAAAAAATTTTTCAGTTATTTTTTATGTCTTCAACTCTTTCAGTGTGGTTCAAAAGATTTTTAGTTTCAGGCTAATTTGCTACCAAAGATTCGCCACTTGTGATACTTGGTAAATCCTCTACCAGGCCACACAAAGGGCAGTACTGGAAATATACTGAAGACAAATGAACAGTCAGGCTGCTCCTCTCACTTCTGATACCACAGAAGCACCTGACCGTGCAACAAAAGCAACAGCCGAGCGTGGGTGTACCGATCCTATTTTAAGTATCCATAAAGACTAATCTAGTCTGTTTTAGGATAAAAAATTAAATAGAAACACTAATGTTTCCTTCTCACACCCCCTCCGCACCCTGTATTGGTCCTTTTCAATAAAGGAGGATGAAGCAAGCATGATTCCTTTGCGAGGCTGAGTCCAAAAGGGCAGCGATGGATAGAGTCAGTCCATTTGGAAGGGACTTCTCAAGTTTTCCTCCAGATTTTTGTTTGTTTGCTTTAACATTACCACCTCCCACCCAAGCCAATCACTAAAAAGCCTTACTAGCTCCAAAATTCCTTAAGAATTTCAGAAAAGGTTATCAAGGTGGAAGATCAATTTTTAGGGAATTCCCACTCATCTGTCTAAAAATCTCTAATCAGAGGATTCCAGACTTCAACCAGATCAAACCTTCACTTACCTATTACTTTGATGTTAATTCTTTTGAGGTATCCTCATTATAGTACTTTGTCACTCCTTTGCTACTATCAATAAATTTTTTTTCTTAGATGTTTTTCTCCTATGTCCCTGCCTAGCGTCATTACAGCACCATGCTCCTACATTAGCCATCCCTTCATGGCTGCAAATACTTTTGCTACAGCCAAGAACTGTAATCCTTTTGCCCAGTTGGCTTCTAGCTGAGCCAAGGAATGAACTGAAGTGGATGTCCAAATTGCTGACCTGGCATTTTCCTAACCTTGAATCAAATCAGTCCTAATCCGAGAGCACGAAATCCTGAAAGGCTCTGCAACCTAAAATATACTAAATCCCCCCAAATTAACTTCTGCCTGATATTAAAAATGGAGTCGCTGTTGCTGAACCCCACCAAGACAATACCTAACCTAACTGCAGATTCAGCCATCCCAGGAATGGAATTCTAAACCAATCAGTCTGGAATTTCCAGGTCAGCAGTAAAGATAATCTAACTCAAAAGGCCACCTGCCTTCCTTACCTAAGGGAAAGTGCCCTGGCCTGAAATAATCTACTCCTACAACTTCGGTCTCATCCTCTACCTGTAAAAACCTTTCTATTTATTTACCAGATGGGATGAGTTCTCATGCATGAATTATTAATAAAACCAACTATATCTAAATTTACTGGGCTGAACTTATATTCTTAACAATGCCCAAAACCATAAACAAAGTCAGAAGGCCAACAGCAAAATGAGAACAAATAATGCCAACAAATTTCAATAAATATGCCAAAGGGTTACTGTTCTTAACTGGCAATAAAAAAAAACAGCAACAAAATGTAAAGAGATTTCTTATTTATAAAATTATCAAGTGTTTTGTTTTTGTCACAACCCCTGCTTACTTCCCATTGTGCCACAGCTACCCTCCTCTAGGGGTTCTGCACACTGAAGTCACCAGGTCTGGGACATTTCAACTGACTGGAGACAAATGCTGACCCACAGCAGCCCAGGCAGAGCTTTGTGCAATGTGAGGATGTTTATTGTCATATCAAGGACCATTTCTTTAGGGTTCCCTTTAATATATTAAAAACCTCAGGAATCCTGGCTGTGCCCCTCTTTCTGCAAAGCTGTCTTGATTTCTTCTAATCATGGGGTTCCTCTCCCCAAAGAATGAAAGCAGCCTTTGCATAATCTTTTTCTTGGGAATTGGCCTTGGCTCTCCCCTCCCCCCACACCCAAGGATTTTTGCCGCTAAACACAACAAACATCAGAAAAGATGGGGGAAGAAAAAACACCACCACAACATTTCAGTAAGCTTAAGAAATCAAATACTAACAACACAACCTACAACCCATGTTCCATAAAATCAGAGATGATAATAAAAAAGTTACCTCAGAAGCATTTCTCAACTACTTTTGTAAGTACAAACAGGAAAATAAGACAAAAAAAGGCCTTAATCTTTGTTAATTATATACCTTAGACATAGGAAGGAAAAATAAATTATTAAATTTTGAGACAAATTTTAACTAGCACCACCAACTGTTGGTCCAATCAATGTACATGCCAAAGATGTACATTCCAGAGTTTGATCCTATGAATCAGACAAGATACAGCAGTGTATCTTAAAAGAGAGGGAGCAAGACAAAAAAACTGTATGAAGCTGAGGGAAGAACTTACAAACAAAAACAAACTTTTTTTTTAAATCTAAGAGAGTAATTACCACAACTGTGGTGGCCTGGAGTGGAAGAAACAGCCCCTTGCCGTCCGTCCTTCTCACTGAACGGGGCGGCTGTACCCGCACCACCAGGAAAATGAGGGACACTGCTCTGGAGGAGCTCTCAGGAGCTCAGGGAAAACTCCTGCTTAGGTACGCCTCCAAACGCACACACCAGGCACAGAAAAACTGACTAAAAAAAAAAAAATCTTCCATGATATTTACAAATGAAGTTCATAATTCCTGGGTAAATACCAACTATTCCAAAACATGCTTTCAGTGGCCCAGACAGACCGGCCACGCGATGCCACATGCAAGCACCGTGGGGCACCACTGCTTTCCTACAGCGCTGACACACCGAGCCTCCTGCCAGACGTCTGCATGAGAATGAAGGCAATCTCAGAACCATACCTTAGTTAGGAAAAACTGTATTCAAATTATAAAGCACTTTTACCTCATGTGGTGTACTTTTTCTTTAAATCAATTATTGGGCTGGACTTTATTTTCACAACTTCACTAAATGGATCATGAGTTAAGAACAACAGTTTTGAGCGCCTTACTTTCTATTTCTAACCTTAACTGCCATAACACAAAGGTTTTTATACTAGCTGGGCAAATTTTTTTGAAATAGACTCTTTTAAAGCTGTTTTAGCCCTGGCTGGTGCAGTTCAGTGGACCGAGCATGGGCCTGTGAACCAAAGGGTCACCAGTTCGTTCCCAGTCAGGGCACATGCCTGGGTTGCAGGCCAGGTCCCCCCAGTTGGGGACACATGAGAGGCAACCACACATTGATGTTTCTCTCCCATGCTTTCTCCTTCCCTTCCCCTCTCTCTAAAATTAATAAATAAAATATTAAAGAATAAAATTGATAGATGACTGATTAAAAAAAAAAGCAGTTTAAGGTTCAGAACAAAATGAGCAGAAGGTACCGAGATCTACCACGTACACCCCGCCCCCACCTATGCACAGCCTTCCCCAGTTGTCAATTTTTAAAAAGCAAAACATGTTTCTCTGAAAAAAAATCAAGACATTATCTCAGGGAAAAAAATCTCGAATCCCCACGGCGAAGCACCACCGTGTCGGCATTTTCGCCGACGCGTCAGGCGGCCGTCAAAGACTCACCATGTAGCAGCCGACGAGGAAAGCCGCGTTGGCCTGTTTCCTTTGATCGGAGCCAGTGAAATGAACGATTTTCTTCCTTATCATTGTAAGGGACTGCATAAAGATACAAAACTGTTAGTACCTTCCTTTTAATGGGAAGCTTTCTAACATTTTATTTTGTGATGAAGATAAATTCCAAAGTTTAGCATTCATATTATTAGCAAGACATTTAAAAAGATTAACTTTGATTCCCCAAGTACTGTGTACCTGCCCATAAAATATATATTCTTGGATTATAGGTATGTACAATTAAAGAGAAAACAAAAGATATGAACAGATATATAAAGTACAGACCACCTCTGAAGGAATATCTAAGAATCTGGAAGAGGGGAGGGGGACACTTTTCTTTCACTTTCCTACTGTTAAAAAAAAAAAGACCGATACTTTCTTAGTTGACCTAAAGGATAAAAGTCCACAGATGGCTGAGGATGGGAAAAATTCTTTCTTTCAAAATTAAAGCAAAGGAACACAAGTGGCTGGGGGTGGGGGGGGGGGGGGAGGATACTATTTTTAGCTTCATAGCCCTGGATGAAACAAAAGACCTGCCAATGACAACTGGAAAAAGGGGTGGGGTGAGGGGGGACATAAACATAACACTATAAATGCTTCTATTCCTATCCAAGAGATACAAAAGTCCAGAAGAAGAGCCTGCACCTCTATATTAGCCTGTAATGAATATAAATATAATACAAAAAAAGGGCAACCCCACAATTTCCACTTTACAGGTTAGTAGCTCATTTGGCAGATGATTCTAACATTTATGATGTGAAATTTTAGGTTTGATATTCAAGTGAAAAGAATTTGCCATACTCACCCATACATTTTTAATACAATTTAATTTTTAACTGAAAAGAAATTTTATTTCTTCTGTGTAGTAGCCTGGTAACTTAAGTGACCGAATAAAGCTGTTTTTAAAAAGGACTTGTCTGTCCCCAGGTCCAGCATTTTTCACCTGAGAACTTACAGTGACTAATTAGGAACCGCTAGCAGTATATACACTTATTACTGTGCATTAGCAATAATTCAAAGTTTCTAAAATAAATGGATGGGGTCTAAGCTCAAACTAAGTCACAAGTAGGACATCAGGGGAGATTGAAGACAGACTTAGAGAAAGATGAGCAGATTTTTCTTTACTTGCTAGCACTCCTCTATGATCAAAGTGAAGGCAGAAAGAGCAATGACCACAGCAAGGGAAGCTTCTCATTAGGGTTCAGTTGCAGTTCCATTAGGTCAGGTGATAAGAGGTTTATTTGATTAACCAATTTTCACTTTGACTTTCAAGTATTTGAGCATCACCAACCCAAACCTGAACCAAATACCCAAACTTAAACTATTCAACCAAAACTATGGAAAACTGCTCTGGCTGGTGTAGATCAGTGGATTGAGTGCGGGCTGCAAACCAAAGAGTCACTGGTTCAATTCCCAGTCAGGGCACATGCCTAGGTTGCGGGCCAAGTCCCCAGTGAGGGGTGTGTGAGAGGCAACCACACATTGATGTTTCTCTCCCTCTCTTTCTCCTTCCTTTCCCTTCTCTCTAAAAATAAATAAATAAGATCTTAAAAAAAAAACCAAAAAACAACCTCTAGAAAACTAAAATATACACTATACCTTTACAAAGCAAAACACACACACACACACACACACACACACACACACACACGAATATGTCCCAAACACCACTGCAGTAAAAAACATGAAATTTCCCTTTTCAAACAAGAGATGTGCCTTCCTTACTTTCCCCTCCCCAAGATCAGGCTAACAATGATTAAGTCAAATCTTAAGTAAAAAAGACTTTACCTTTAATTTCTTAGTTATCTTGCAACAATATCTGTAAACCATTGCCAGATTGAGTGGTCCAAAATCTGCGTAGAAGCTTTAAAAGTAAAAAACAAAAATGTATATGTATAGTCCGGATGCCCTGAATATATCTTTCTGGAGCTACAAGATCAAATCAAGACAAGGAAGCATACACCAAATTACTATCAGTCACACAACTTAAAGGTACTGCCTTAACTAGTGGAAGAGATACTCTGGTATATAATGCCTATTAAGAATCATGAAAATTGGCTCAACAACACATGAAAATACCTTCTGAATAAAAAGGCTATTTTTCTGCACATCTCCACTGGTAGAAACACATCTTAGCATATTAGTTTATATCTCATTGTACTGTAAACTATTAGAATGTCAAATATAAATTGTTAAATTTAGGAAGATTCTTTCATTTTGATTTTCCCCCCTAAGGGTCTACTTTATTACTAAGGTTAATTAAAGGAAAAAAGCCCTGCAATTATCAGTCAACAGATTTGTAGTTTTCCAAGGTTATCCTATTTATAAACATACCTTTAGATTCTTCAAAATAAAAAAATTAACAGCCTTTTAAAAAGCAATACTTACTTTTCATATTCAAGTTCATTATCTATGCTGAAATAATGTACACCTGATGAACTCTTTGGTCTGCTGTAGAGAATGGCAAAACAAAGGCGATCTGAAATGGAAAAATTGCAATGTTCCTTCCTTCAGATTACTTTATACAATTTCATATATCATGATACAACTCTTTTCAGATGAAGTCAGATTTTTTATTTTTTCCATGCAGGTTTCTGATGGTAAGGGTGCCAATACTTTCAAAATGTTTTGACTATTTTGATGAGTGATAAAAAAAAAATTAGCAAATTTTTTAAAAGAGAAATTGTCTTTAGCCATAAGTTTCAACAATGACAAGTGACTTTTCGTGGATCAGTAAGGCTTGATTTCTGAGAGAATCTCTCATCACAAAAGTCTAGTTCCCCTGGGCTAAGTAAGATATGTGAGCAAACGGCAGCATGCACTCAAGGCTAGTCATCAACCTGGATGACTTTCGGTATGTACCACTATGTTTGCAAGACATCCTCAACAGTCATTCAATAAGAAACTATTTGAAACTAACTAGTTGATAAAGATCGCTTTCCAAACTGCTTCAAACTTAACATTTAAGGCTACAGAACACAAACAACAAAATGAACCTTATGTTTTACCCAGCTATTCTTAGGGACCATTACTATTTTTGCAGTGATTTTTACAATTAGACAAATCACCATCACAACAGAAACAATGAGCTTTCTGCAAGAGCACAAGATGAACTTGTTTTGTATAAATGCAGTTAGGCTGCTGTAAGGTTTAGCAAGAACCATAACCCATACTAATAATGTTTAGAGGCTGCAACCTTTAATTCTTCCCCCACCCTACCACAGAAAAAGTTGCCTAAAAATCCTCTGTGAAGCAAAGTCATCTAAAATACTTATTAGGACTACTAGTAATGCTACTAGAATACTTACACTAAAAAATTGTGGCAAAATCAAGTCCAGCTTTGAAATACTAAGAAACAAAGGATGCCAGCCTACATCCTTTGCCCAAAAAGTAATTTAAACAATTGTCAGCAATTGCACTCACACAACTGCTATACTTATTTCCTTGTAAATGCCTCAAATAAAATATCTCGCAACCACAAACACTCAAAAGGACGACGGGCTTATTAACCTTTTTCCAACCACAAATGACCTTTGATCCCCGGCAGAGACCACTGATTTTGCTTCCTTGGGTAGAGAGACGTAAGTGACCTACCACCCAGGGGCTCCCCTATGTACAGGTCGGTTAACATTCTCCCCAAAGCAAGAGCACGCGTGGGGATTAGGAGTTTAGGAGGCCACCCACACCCATGAGACAGCATTTGCCGCGGCTCCAAAGGTTTAACGCACCTTCTAGCCAGAAATTGGGGCCTCCTTGAACTCCAGGCGCTGCCCGGTACTATCTAAATACAGGTGTCCCTGTGGGCATCCGGTACCCTCCGCACTCACCTTTGATCACCTCGGCCACCAGACGGGTCCCAGTGCCCTCCCGGCTCATGACTGACTCCAAAGCATCTGGAAGGCGGGACGACCGGATGGCCAGGGAACAACCAGCCGCGGAGAGAGGAGACGCCTCAACCACACCCCCGAAGTTTAAAAACAGAAAGTTTAAAGGGCCGGCCGCGCCCAGGCAGTGGAAACAGCCTCGCCTCTCGGCCACCCACTCCAGCTTACAGGGCGAGTCAACCCAGGAAGTTTAAAACTTCTCAGACAGCCCCAAAAGGAGCGGCGAGGGATTGAGGTGCGGAAGCCAACCCCTGGCGCCCTGACGGAGCTTTGCCCCGCCTGGGGACATGGGGACACTGCCTCCGGGGACTCTAGGCAGTCCTCTACGGTGCAACGCCCTCCAGCGCCAAAATTCTGCACTGCTTACAGGGCTGTGCAGCAGAGCAAGTGGGCGCTGGCCTAGTGAAAGCAGCTCTGAAAGCCAGTAAATAACTTCTCGGAAGAGAAGGGCCAGCTAAGTGGTAACACCAACTGCGGGGGTGCGCCCCTCAGTCGCCTTGGCCTTTGCCACCAGGGAGTGCTGCAGTCGAGCCAGGAGGGGAGGCGCAGTCCTTGAAAAGCCAACGCTACACTCTGCCCCCGTGACCGGTTGAAAGCCGGGTAGGGTGGGTGGGAGTTGCGCCCGCTCTTCTTCTCAGTGTCAAGTTCCTTGGGAGTGCTGGCGTCTTAATTATAATGGATGTCTTCAAAATAGTTGTAAACTTAATAAGCCTGCTACTGCGGTCACTCGATTCCTTTACAGGCCTTAAGCATGGTTAAAAAACAAAACTTGTGATACCTTGCTAAGGAACCATTTAAACTATTTTCTAAACCCATGTTTCTGTTAGTCTGGAATGAGAAAGATACAGTATGAGTTTAGTCCGAATTTTGTTAAAAATAATATAGTGCTGGGATTTGGGGTGGTTTTCATTTCTTCCTATACTTTTCCAAATTTCCTACAGAAAACTGTTACTTTAGTAATCCCTGAAAAATTCTGCAGTGAGCCCCCCTTAAAATAGACAACACAGCAACAAACTCCTTCCCAGGAATTAACACTGTATTTAAAATCCCAGTACAATATATAGATTCTACATCACGTATACATTTTTTCCTCAAAAGTAAACCATCCTAACTTTATTTTTAAATTCTAGACAAATCAAAGACCTTTAATATGAAAAACAAAACCACAAATTCCTTTTTGTGCCAAACTGGAAAAAGGCCTTTCTAAATGAGACTGTAAAAGCCAGAAGAGAATCACCAAATTGATACTTATTTTTAAAAGGGTCTGGTGGCAATGGACACAAAGTGGAAAACTATTTGAAATTCGTCTCATGGAGATGACCACCTCCAACTTTATGTTCTTAAAAAAATAAAATACCAATTTAAACTACAAGGCCCTAGTTTTCCTTCCGACTGGTAAAAATCGAAGGAGTTTGAAAATGAATCGTATTGGTGAGGCTGTGGGGAAACTAACATTGCCTGTGGGTAGGAACACCAGGCTATCTCAAACCCAAACCCAGAAATACCTTTTGGAGGGTGGGGGCCCCTTTCAGTCTTCTCCCGCTAGGTGAGTGTTCTAAGGAACCCATCTGTATAATGTATGTTTGGCTTCGGTGGATTTTTTGGAGGACTCTTTGAATGCGTTTGCCCGTTTCATGACAATGATTTATGAGGGCACCCGTGTACACTACACAGAATGTTCAGCAGTTGTTGACCAAAAAAACCAGCACGACCCCTATGCTCCACCCTCCATTCTCACGATCTTGCCACTTTTGGTATTGTTTCCTTCCCCATGAAAAAAGTCCTCAAAAAAAAAATTTTTGCTAATAACTTTTTCTTTTTTTTAAAGTCAGAAGCACTAAAAGGCATCAAAATGAACAAGTTCAAAAACTATTTTGAGCAGTGAAAAAAGGCTGGATAGGTGTATTACATCAAATAGACAGTACTTTGAAGGTGAATGAAGTTTAAACATGTAAGAATACACAATTTTTTATTAATATATTCTGGGTTTCCTGCCTTGTATAAGCTGGGACAACTTCCATTCATGGCAATTCAAAGTAACATACCTTGCCACCTCAAAATATATTTTTTTGAAAATTGATTTTTAAGCTGGTTATTAAAAAATGAAAGATTCAGAAAAAAATCTTTCACCTTCCCACCTCCCGTGGCCCGCTTAAGGAATTCAGACAGAAATACCTGCTTAAAGAAAGGGAGCATGACCTTAGCAACGTAATAAATTAAGTATGGCAGAAATCTGGCAAAAGCCTGCTGGTTGGCCTTGCCTTGGAGTTCCATTGTTTCTGGGTGCACACTAAGAATTTGATTCCCACATCTCACACATTTGCTCTCTCTACCCGAAAACTGCCTGCATTCCCTTTGAAATCCCAGACCCTCGCCTCTCTTCCCTTTGTCCAGAATGGAATATAAACTTCAACTGTCCAACGCCTCCTTGGGTCTCATATTCTTATTGGCAGCCCAGCATGTGCATTCAAAGTGAGTTCTAGACATTATCTTCTGTTAATCTGTCTGTTACTCTGCTTACCAGCCAGGACAGAAGAACTCTGAAAGGTTCTAGAAAATTATTTTTTGTGCCCCCCACAGAACCTTTCATAAAAGTAATGGTCAGAACACTTAAGACTGCAGGAGTTAAGCTTATAGACAGGTTATTATGTTTTGTGCCTCCTTGCTAATAAGAATATTTAATAAATGACTGCTGTGTAGAAAAAAAAATATCTTATCTGAGATTAGCTGTCATTATATGTAACCTGGTAGAAAGGTTGTGGAAGAATGGATGAACCCCACTACCTGGGGTTTTCTTGCAGTTACAATCAAGAAGTCCTAAGACCCTGGCAAGACCAAATTGGCCCAGGGCAGTTTTTATCAGTGTGATGCAGAGCTGAGATCAGGCATCACTAACATGCCCTAAAACATGTGGGTCACTGTCATGGCAGTCAGACACTTGAGCCAGGAAGAGAAGTCACACAGAAGTAAGGCAGTCAGCCTCAGCAGACAGATATTTCCCTAGGACTCTAAGCCAAGAAATTCAATAAATTCTAATTTATCCACCAAAATAAGCATTTCAAAGGGAAGAACAAATATGTAAATGATCCATCTCATTTCAAACTTCTTGGCAGTAAATAATAAAAAACACTTAATGAGTATGTTTACTACATAGTTATTAAACTCTGATAAGAGTTTTCAGAAGCAAGTTTTTATTCACTATACTCATTCTTTACCTCCCACAGTATTTCATGGCCCTCCTAAAAATGTTTAGGACTTACCACTATTCTAGGTCACTAGTCATGTCAGCAGTAATTTTTTTTCTATAGATGAACCTATCAGGGAGATTTTTTCCAATTGTCATGCCAGTTTGGCTGTGATTTTTAAGAAAATGGTTTAGAGAAGAGAGGATTACTGAAGAAAGAAACTAAAGATACAAATCACTGGAAGCACATATTATATTCATGGAGAGGAAGAATTAACATCATTAAAAATGTTCATACTGCCCAAAGCAATCTATAGATTCAATGCAACTCCTAACAATATACCAACGATATATTTCACAACACTAAAACAAGTATTTCTAAAATTTACATGGAACTACAAAAGGCCACAAATTTTAACAACAATCTTTACCATGCTACCTCTAATATCGAAATATACTATAAGGCTGCAGTAACCAAAATGGCATAAAAGCAGGCACACATGAGATATGTCCAAAAGTATCCAGCCTTGTAATATGAAAATGAGAGACATTTATTAAAGAACATACAAGATACAAGAGACACTGCACATAGGACTGTGATGTCTAAGACCCCTTCAGAGTTATGAGCTTCTTGAAGAAATCTGGTTCATTGGTAGTAGTGTGAATCAAGTCATTACTAACTTCAGCATGATGTTCCTTCTGTCCTGGCAGAAGCCACGGAATGAATGTTGCCATGACACAGTTCATGCCAAGATCCTGCATCAAAATCTCTGACCCGGTAGGTTTCGGAATCCCCAGATCAGCTTCTGGTTCTCACAAGGTCGGCTGCCAATCTGTCTTAAATGCAGCCCATACACTCTCCACATTCTCGGGTGGTTTGCTTGTTGCAGGCCTTCCAGAACATGGATCACTTTCAACAGATTCTCCACCATCTTTGAAGTGTTTGTGCCACACTCTTGTGTTTCACTCATTACACTGTCCCTGAAAGCCTTCTGAATCATCCAAATAGCTTCCACAGAGGAATGTTCAAGTTTAACACAAAATCTGATGTAGAGTCATTGCTCTACTCAGTCATTTTGACTGTGACAGCCCCACAGTACACATGCTCACTCAGTGGCACCTACCTTCCCCACTGACTAGTACAGTGAAGTTATCATTTTTCACACCTGTGCATTCCAGTTTAATCTCCTTGGCTGTCAGGTTACAATGATATTGTGCAAACCATTCTCGTTATATTAACAATGGCTGGACAGGGGAGGGGGAGGCAGAAGACTACTTGAACAACAATAAAATTCAAAAGTATTTTAAAAAATTAAGTTAAAAAAATAAATCTTAACAGCGGCTGGACATTTTAGTGTATCAATGGAACACAACAGAGAGCCCAGAAATCAACCCACACCTTTATAGTCAGAGGGAAGCAAGCACATACAAAGAGCTAAAGATAGCTTATTCGATAAATGGTGTTGGGAAAATTGGACAGACACATGTAGAAAAATGAAGTTAGACATATGCATATGCCACATAAAGAATAAATTCAAAATGAATTGAAGATGTAAATATTAGACTTAAAACCATAAATGTTAAAGACTCAAAACCATAAAAATCCTAGAAAAAAACAAAGGCAGTAAAATCTCAGACACTGCTGGTAACAGTATTTTTTCTGATTTATCTCCTCAGGGAAGAGAAACAAAAGAAAAACTAAATCCACGGGACTACATCAAACTAAAAAGTTTTTGCACAGTGAATGAAACCATCAACAAAATAAAAGGACAACCCACAGAATGGGAGAACATATTTGCCAATACATCTGATAAGGAGTTAATCTCTAAATTATACAAAAAATTTACAAAACGCAACACCAAAATAACAAAATCCAATGAAAATGGGCAAAGGACCTGAACAGGCTCTTCTCCAAAGACGCCAGTAGACACATGCAAACATGCTCAATGTCACTGATCTTCAGAGAACTGCAAACTAAACCCACCAATGAGATACATCACCTCACATCTGTCAGAATGGCTCTCATCAAACAACTGCTGGCGAGGATGCGGAGGAAGGGGAACACTTCTACATGCAGGTGGGAATGGAGACTGGTACAGG